TCAGCCATGCTGTGGTGGTGACCCATATACAAAATAGAGGAAGACTAGCACAGATGTTAGCTAAGGGCAAATATTCCTCAAGCAAAAAAGAGGAAGATTGGCAACAGACGTGAGCTCACAGGGAATCTTCCTCACCAAAAAAAAAAAAAAAAAAAATCAAAACATATTTTTCAACATGTCATTAGGAAGGAGTATTTGTCAAGGTAGGAGGACAGAATTCTGGAAACCGCATGAGAAACCCCTGTTTCTTTTCTGTGTGTCCTTCTATTTTACTCAGTCTAGATTGGATGCTTTTTGTTCCTTGTACTCAATCTAAAGGCACCTTTACGAAGACAGTGGTGGAAGGTGGAGATGTGGATGAAGATGTGATTGATGGAGGTGTGGATGATGAAGATTGGAGCGAGGACTGCCATTGGGGCTGCCCTCATTCCAACCCTTGCTTCCCTCCAGAAGATGAAATTCTGAGAGCCAGCAGCAAGCAAGGCAGGGATGCCGCGGGCAGTGAGAGCAGACTTGCTCTAGCCCTGCCTGAGGCAGAATGGAGGCCACCAGTGCTGCTCAGCGGCTACGAGCCCAGCTCTGGAGTCCCAGCTCTTCCATCCGCAAGCTGTGTGACGACGGGTGAGTCATTTCGCCTTTCTCTGCCTGTTTCTTCCCCCACTTCACATAGGGTTTTGTAAGAAGTAAGTGAGGTACCCAGCATAAAGCGCTTAGCATAGTGCCTAGCACTTAGTAATACTCAGTAAATGTAGATGGTTTGAGAGCAGAAATCCTCTCTCTTATCCACATGGTGCATTAGCAACATGTAGGTGCTCAGGAAAAAAATATTTCACGACATCTTCCTCTCCACTACCCCACCGCCCCCTCCTCCCTCTTGCCACTCCCACCCCTCCCCCCAGTGAGTACTGGGCAGTGGGTGCTGGGCGCCTGGCTCCGCCCAGAGGCCACACCCCTCAGAGGGAGAGCGGGAGCCAGGCTATTGTTGTGGCTGAGATTCTTTCCGAAACGGAAAGCCCTGAATTAGAGGATGGCTGCGCTAATCTCCGTGGGGCTCACACACTGCCCGGAGGGGGGCCTCCTCCTGCGGGGCTGGGGCCACAGACGCCGGCGCTGAGCTGCCTCCCTCTCCCGGAACTCTCCTCCTCTCAGTGAAGCCCAGACCCCTCACTGAGCCCCCATCTTTTCTCTGAGCCTCCCTGAGCTCCCTTCTCTCATCGGAGCCAGTCTTTTCTCAGGGTCCCCATCACCTCACTGAACCCATTCCTCACAGAAGCCCTCCCTTGTCAGCGCCCCATCTTCTCTCTAAGTGCTCCTGAGCCTCTCCATCTCTCTCTCTCTCTCCCCCCCCCCC